AGGCCGGACCCTTAGCTCCTCGTCCTCCTCCTCGTCATCATCCTCTTCCTCCTCCTCCTCCACAGCAGACAAAGAGCGGGAGCTGGGCCGAGAGCAAAGCAGCAGCCGGGAAACTAATCCCAACTAAGACGCAGAGGTGCGAGGTGGCAGGGGAGGTGCCGGCGGCCCCGAGGAGGCTTGCCGGGGCAGTGGAGAGACTGCTGGCTGCGCAGCACCGGCCTGGGGGACTCTTGCGCAGCAGCTCCACGGCACCTGCTTTCCTCTGCGAACTGCACGCCGCCCCCGCTCAGGAGCGCCGGGGAGCCCCCGGCTGCCGGCAGGGAGAGGAGGTTCAGCTGTGGCCCTTGCCGGAGGGCAAGGGAACCCGGCGTGGCGCGGCAGGAGGAGCAGGCAGCCCCTTCGACGCCAGAGCGCCGAGGGAAGGGGCAGCCAGAGCTGGGACACAGGCACGGGCAGAAGGTTGGCGGGACAGATGGAGGGACGGATGACAAGCACGAGTGCTCGGCGCCTAAGCGCCGTGGCTGGAGGGGCCCCGGCAGCTGGCCGCAGCCTGGCGCTGGCAGGAGAAGGACGGGCAGAGCCCGGGGGCTCCTGCAGCTGGACTGGCACCAGCACAGCTCCGTGTCCATAGTGTAAATAGTTCTGTCCGTGGCGCCCATGCTCCTTGCAGGGCTGCTCCCATCGCATCCGTGTTTCTTTCCCACATGTGTGAGTCCCGTGTTTGCCGACGCTGTGTATAGGGGAGGAGCGGAGAAGAGGAGTTTCTTTGGTGTGTAAAGACGTCTTTGCAGCTGTTTTGTAGTCGTTGTGGTTTTTACGCGGAGCCTCCGGGCTTTATTTAACCTCCTTGGGTTTTGTTTTGTAAGGATTAATTTAACACCGCTAACCATTTTATTACTTTTATCAAGAAGAGCAAAGTCTATTTTTGATTTCTGTTTCCTAGTTCTTAGGAACATTAAAAACCAGCATACAGCTCTGCCCTGTGTCCGTGCCTTTCCTTCTCTGTTGGCCAGGGGCCTGTGGTCACCCCCTGTCCTCGTCTCTCTCTGGCTGAAAGGTAGAAAAGTGTTGGCTGCTTTTTTTTTTTTTTTCCAGAACTCTCTGGCGTCTGACCCGTTCTGTGCTGCAGTGCCCTCCTGGTGACTTTTTTTGCCTAATGACCAGTGCAAACCCCCTAAAGCAACCTGACCAATACCCTCTTAGGTCATTGTCTGCTGCTATGGTGAAGAGTTTGGCTTTCTCTTCCCTGTAATGACCCTTTGAGAAGCAGGCAGCTGTAATCGCCCTCAGCCTCTTCAGGGCAGAACAAGCCAGCTTCTCCTTGCAGGGTTTCTGCTCCGGGTGCTCGGCACTTTGGTAGGCCTTTGCCCCCCATTCGGAGAGGCCCAGGCTGAGCCATGCTGCAGGCACAGCCTCATCGGTGCGGAGCAGTGACCAATGCGGTGGTGAGACAGCTTGGCTGGGCTTTCCTGCAGTCAGTCCCTAACACTGGCCTGGGGTGGGGGGATGGCTGCTCTGAGGGGGGAGATTTCCTGGGGAGAGCAGCCTGGGGGTCGATGCACCATGCTCTCGAAGTGCAGACCTTCCCTGGCTGGACTGGTCTTGCTTCAGCTTCCAGCCATCGATCTCGCCCTGTCCCTGGCTGTTGGATTAAAGAATCTTTTACTACCACCAGTCTCTTCTGGTCTAAGGAGGTGAAGGCAGCTCTGGGGGTTAAAAGCTGTGGTAGTTCTCTGACCTGGCTTTTCTGGGGTTCAGGAATTTCGTGGCTTCACCTTTGCCTCTGTATGGGCTGTAGGCATCATGGAAGCCAGTGCTCCCCAGCTGGGTTTCCCTGTCCCAAAGGAAAATGGCTCAAGGGTGGGTTAGCACCTGCCTGGAAGCCTGTAATCCTGCAGCCCTGTGGGGCTGCATTTCTTGGCACAGATCAAATGGGTCCTCAGGTTTGTTAGTTAAAAGCTGGGAGATGAGGAAGTGCCCTGAATCCTGGGTGTGTGTCATGCACGTGGTGCTCTGCAGCCAGCAGCACGGGTACCACGGCAGTGCCGGTGCCGCTCTGCGGTGGGCAGGAACAGCCCAGCCCCACGCGCTGGCTGCTCCGAGTATCCGCAGCTCTCCAGGGATGCTTTCAACAACAGACGAGATCATTGACATCATTTAATGACACTTGGGACAGTTGGGAACTGCAGCAGTGAAAGCAGCAGTTTGTAAAGGCTTTTTTTCCTTTTATTCGCTATTTTGAGCCAAGGCAGGCTGCTCCTGAAGTGCAGGTGACCAGAGACGCACCGATGCTGGGAAATGTCAGCAAACCTACACCTTGGTCAGTCTGTCCTCACCGAGTCCTTTGTCTTGCTCCCTCAGGTGATGGCCAATTGCTTGTTAAGTATATAGTTGCCATGGTCTCACAGTGGAGGTGTAAGCGACATCAGTGGCCTAGAAGCCTTGTGGCGTGGCTTCCTCTCTAGAACACCTCATTTATCTGGACAAAGCAAGAGATGGTAGAAGGGGAGTGTCAGGTTGACTGCTGTGGGTTTCGTGGATGCTGTCATGTCCGGCACTTCTCTTGAACAAGTGAAGGGGACGGTGCCTGAGCAGGAGCGTGCTGGGACCCCAGCCAGGAGCCGAGCCCCGGCAGCAGCTGTCCGTGGGCTCTGGCTCTGGAGGAGCGCAGGGACAAAGCAACAGCTGGTGGAGGGGCCAGGGGTGTGTGGCCGGGGCAAGGAGCAGGTTCTGCTCACCGGACTGAGCTGCCCACTCCTCGAGGCAGCAAGACCGGCTGGCACGGGGCACCCCCATCAGCCTGGTCCCAAGATGGGACATGACACTTCCCACCAAGACACTCAGTGGTGGCTGTCCTGCAGCGCCCAGGACTGCTCGCTGCCCGGCCAAGCCTGTACCAAGGGGGAAGCCAAGGGCAGGTGACCGAGGACAGGTCGAGCTGTGAGAGGGGCTGCACTGGTGGGGGCAGCTGGGGGACACAGCTGGGAGCAGTGGGGGGTACGAGCAGGACCGGGGGGGATGAGGTCAGCAGTCACACTGGGAGCTGGATGTTACCTGGTCCCCTGAAGTAAAAGCTCTTCCAGACTCTGCCAAACCTTGATGATTTGAACCAAAAGGCCCCTCGCTAATGCTGCTGTGGGCAGCTCTAGCCCAAGTGGCTGCTCTGGTGCAGGCTGGAGCTGCAGCCTAGCACTGCGCTCATCGGGGTGTGGACAATAATTACCTGGCAAGTTCACAGAGCTCAGTGAACAGAGTAGAGCCTTGCGTGGTGAAAAACTGTCATTTTCTCGCTAACTGGCATAGTCACCCTGCCCTGTGCCCCAAGGGGGCTGAGGGCAGCAAGGTGTGATCCCATCACTGACGAGGGGCTGGAAACCCCCCACAGCACCTGAGCTTAGGTTGGCTGTTGCTGCGTGGGGTCCTCACTGTCGCCCCTGCAAGCACTGCTGCCCATTGTGGACAGTCACTGCTTCTTTCCTGCCTGGCAGCGCAGCAGGAGGGAGGTTTTCCCTGTCTGCACTGGGAAGGAATCAGTGCTGCCAACCTGCCTTCAGCCCTGGGCAGCTGTGGGGGTCTCTGACAGCTGCTGCCCCTCAGGGCTGCTGGAAACACCACTGCAAGGGCTGCAGCCAGGGGCGGGGGATTTGGCACGGGCTGAGGAGGCACAGCCTGCGGAGAGGGATGCTACAAGGGCTCGGCCGTGCCCAGCCAGGCTCTGGCAAGTGCTACGGCCCCCATGTGCCCCCAGCCCTGGCTCCCCAGGGTGCAGGAGTGCGGCGAGGTGGCCGGGCATGTGCTGGCGGTGCCGAGCATTTCTCTGCGCCCCGGGATCCCCCGTGCTGCGGGTGATGTGCTGGGCTCTGGGCACCTCATGCCTGCAGCAGCTTCTCTTCCCTGGGGCCGAGCAGGACCTGCCCGTTCCCAGGCCAGGGAAAGCAGAGGGTCTCCCCGTGCTTTGGGGGGGCCCTCAGGACCCCGCTCTGCAGCCACCCTCTCCCCCGGGGCCCCCTGCCTGGGGACTGCAGGCAGGGAAGGAGCATCCCCAGGGCTGCCCGTGCGCGAAGGGGCAGCGGGGCTGCAGGGAGCCGCGCCGACCCCCGGCACCGACCCGCTGCAGCCCGGCGGGGG